GTGGGTGCCTCTGCTGACAACACAGTCTCCGACAACTACAGGTGGACCGGCCATGGATCAGGGCCAGCCCTCAATACCCGGTGGTCCTGGAGCTGAGTTCGGGAAGGCAGGGCCCATATACTTGCACGTTCGACGGCAGCTCATGACCCGGGCGTTGGCCCTGTCGGGACTGGAGGGCAAGGATGGTTGCCATATGGCCATGCATGGCCCTAAGCGGAAGGTAGGTGGTGTCATGCATGCATCCAAGAATTCTGTGGCATGTTGTTTTGAATTTGTATTGGGCTAACATGGAGTAATGTAAAGGATGTCATGGTACACCACACCGCTGACTTGTGCATTCATGTGCATGTCTTCATGGCAGAACTTTGGGACGTTGTGCCAATCAGCAAGCCTGGGACGGTGTGACAGAGGGGGAGGTGTTCAATACAGTGAATGCCACTCCAACTGAGGTATGGAGAGGGCTGCAGTTTGCAACAGAGGCTTCCTTATGTGAAGATGATTGGGTTTTGGGGGTTAGGGGGGTTGAGGGGCCAGGGCTTTCAGAGGTGCAGGGTTTGGGATTTGCTGTGTAAGGGTTGTATGGTGGACACTTGTGGGCAAGCATGAGGTTACTTATTGGTTGCCACACTCCAGAATTGTGCACTCACATGCAGGCCCTACCAAGACATGGTAGTCTAACAGTGCCTAATAACTCACACTGACTCACAGGAAGCAGCAAGTGGCTCAGCTGCCCGTCTCAGCTGCCAGAAGGCGTCCACCTTCATGGTGGGTGCCTCTGCTGACAACACAGCTCCGACAACTACAGGTGGACCGGCCATGGATCAGGGCCAGCCCTCAATACCCGGTGGTCCTGGAGCTGAGTTCGGCAAGGCAGGGGCCTCATCCTTGCAGGTTCGACGGCAGCTCATGACCAGGGCGATGGCCCGGTCAGGACTGGAGGGCAAGGATGGCTGCCATATGGCCATGCATGGCCCTAAGCGGAAGGTAGGTGGTGTCATGCATGCATCCAAGAATTCTGTGGCATGTTGTTTTGAATTTGTATTGGGCTAACATGGAGTAATGTAAAGGATGTCATGGTACACCACACCGCTGACTTGTGCATTCATGTGCATGTCTTCATGGCAGAACTTTGGGACGTTGTGCCAATCAGCAAGCCTGGGACGGTGTGACAGAGGGGGAGGTGTTCAATACAGTGAATGCCACTCCCGGAGGTATGGAGAGGGCTGCAGTTTGCAACAGAGGCTTCCTTATGTGAAGATGATTGGGTTTTGGGGGTTAGGGGGGTTGAGGGGCCAGGGCTTTCAGAGGTGCAGGGTTTGGGATTTGCTGTGTAAGGGTTGTATGGTGGACACTTGTGGGCAAGCATGAGGTTACTTATTGGTTGCCACACTCCAGAATTGTGCACTCACATGCAGGCCCTACCAAGACATGGTAGTCTAACAGTGCCTAATAACTCACACTGACGCACAGGAAGCAGCAAGTGGCTCAGCTGCCCGTCTCAGCTGCCAGAAGGCGTCCACCTTCATGGTGGGTGCCTCTGCTGACAACACAGCTCCGACAACTACAGGTGGACTGGCCATGGATCAGGGCCAGCCCTCAATACCAGGTGGTCCTGGAGCTGAGTTCGGGAAGGCAGGGGCCTCATCCTTGCAGCTTCGACGGCAGGTCATGACCCGGGCGTTGGCCCGGTCGGGACTGGAGGGCAAGGATGGTTGCCATATGGCCATGCATGGCCCTAAGCGGAAGGTAGGTGGTGTCATGCATGCATCCAAGAATTCTGTGGCATGTTGTTTTGAATTTGTATTGGGCTAACATGGAGTAATGTAAAGGATGTCATGGTACACCACACCGCTGACTTGTGCATTCATGTGCATGTCTTCATGGCAGAACTTTGGGACGTTGTGCCAATCAGCAAGCCTGGGACTGTGACAGAGGGGGAGGTGTTCAAGCAGTGCTGCCACTCCCGGCGGTATGGAGAGGGCTGAAGTTTGCAATCAGTGGCTTCCACTCCAACTGAAGATGATTGGGTTTTGGGGGCTTCGGGGGGTTGAGGGTGATTGGGCTTTTGGGGGTGCAGGGTTTGGGTTTGCTGTGTAAGGGTTGTATGGTGGACACTTGTGGGCAAGCATGAGGTTTTATTGGTTGCCACACTCCAGAATTGTGCACTCACATGCAG